ATATGCTTCCTTCGCCAGGCTTTTCTAGCATTTGCCTACAGGTGAGATGTTAACCTACATCTATTGAGGATAAAATCTTTCACCTACAAATTGAGCAATAACACATTTGCTGCTTAATCAGACATATCTAGTTACCTCAACACTTGCAAGTTGCAATTGGGGTTGCAATTTCAAATTGGCATTACTAAAATAGTAAAGTTTCTGGTTCACTCTAAGATTAACAGAAAAACTGAGGGAGACTCAGCGTCCTGATGTGAGAAAGCGGACTCGTGTGGCGGGGGACCAAATAAAAAAGCATAGCTACATGTTTTTTGGACTACAGTAAGCGTGCCCTTTTTCATCGGCTTTGTAATAAACCTAGCCATGCCTATGTGTATATGATATTTACCATAACGTATATATATATTTAGTGGGTCTAAATAGTGCGTGGAAATGGGAAACTGGGGGTTGGGTCTTGGGCGCCTGGAACCAATTAGAATAAATCCCATAAATTCTATACTAGATGTCAGCAATCTAATTAAGCTTGCCCGATAACCAAGGAGATGACTGTATATACTTGTGACACTGTTGGAGTGCTTCTGGTGTTATGGTGCAGGGTGCCAAGTGACAGCACTAGGATCCTTTACTATCAAGGAATAAACAATTAAAATTTAAATTAAGAAAAAAAGGCCATTCAAAATAAATTACTATCTTACAAAGAATCCCTCCAATGTAAGTTATATTCACCCAGGTCGTTTGAAAATTATGAGAAGAGCTTTGTCACTCTTAAGTAATGATAAATAAACACGCAGGCAGGCCTTCAGCGTAATGTCAAATCTTATCTCCAAATAAATAAACAAACAAACGCCAGACATTCTGTCTCACCTCATCTCCCGCCCCTCCCCCCTCCCTCATATTTCAAGATAATCATTGGTGATTTCTGTATGTTTTATTTTTATATAATATCTCAGCAGACTAAATTCACGATAATATAATTTGCATTGCTGAAATCCTTACCCAAGACAGAATTAATTTGAATATAAGCGTCATATATTTGTCTCAAGATATAAAAAATGTAGTACATTGTACAATACTGTAGTACATTTTATAAAAATGTTTTCAACTGTATTTTTGGGTAGTTACATAAATTTTCTTCATTTATTTTTCACCCATTTACATTCCACACACCCTACTAAAATAAGCGTAAAGTAAATTAGTGCAAAGCTGGACTGCACATGTACTAATTTGATTTAGGTACTAAAATTGTTATGTCTGGTCAGTGCAACATGTTTATATTCAAATAAATCAGTATCTTACAAGTCCTTTATGTTAAATATATTTTCCTAGGGCATATCACTGGCATTTTAAAATAGAGAAAGCTTAGTAGGACACAGTAAATAACACACAGAGAGACAACCGCCTCAAACTTATCTGCAACCCCCAACCCTCACTGGCTGGCTGGTTCGATCGTCCATACCTCCCTCCTTCCTCCCCACAGCCAGGCTTTTAGGCTTACAGTTTTTATCTTATATATAATATCTCAGACTGAAGTTAGGGAGATTATAAATTTACATTGCACAAGGGAATCCTGTGCAAGACAGCCAATAATTTGAATATAAACGTCATATATTTTGCTCAAGAGATAAAAAATTTTGTACATTAGTGTGTACAGTACTGTATTTTATATAAAGGATTTTCAACTGCATTTTTGGGTAGATTTACATAGATTTCTTAGTGCAAAGCTGGAGTGCACATGTACTAATTTGATTCACGGTACTAAATTGTTTTGTCTGGTGCAAATTATAGCATGTTTATATTCAAATTAATCGGTATCATTACAAGTCAGCTATGTTAATTATATTCACCAGTCATTCACTGGCTTTTTATAAGAGAAGCTTAGTCACCTAAGAACTGATAAAGCCTACCGCGATCCTGGGCCTGTGCCAACTGTCAAACATACTACCTCCTCCCCCGCACGCCCTTTCGCTCCCTCCCTCTCTCTCCCCCATCTGCCCGGCGTTGCTGGAATCCTTGTAAAACAGTGAATAATTTTTAATATAAGCGTCTCATGTATATTTTTGCACAAGAGATAACATTAATCACCTGTATCACATGCAGTAGTGATTTAGAGTAAAAGTGTATATGTGCGTATATAGTATTCCCACATACCGTAAGTATAAATAAAAAAGTTCATGTGAGATCGGACAACTTCCATTTTAGGTTAACGTCACGTTTCCAAGAAGCGTATCTGGTCTAGACGCTAATCAAGATGACTGTATATATATATATATACTCTATGCAAAAATACAGTGTTGAGATGGTTCAACAAGTATTGTAGTGGGAAGGACTAAGAATATGGGCTTAAGGGGTGTCTCTGTTCACAGACACATTTCATATTTTTCCTTGTCATGCATTGATTTGACTTTGAATTTCATGAATTTTTTGTTCTCATTTTAATTATGCTGGCACGTAACAAAGTTGTTTTGAGTGTATTGTTAAGTTTCTCTTGAAAAAATTCCAGATATCCTTGAGAAGTACAAAGCTAAGCTTGACAAACTGGAGCCAGCTACAACGAGTTCTTGAAGAAGAAATAGAAGAAAAGAAGATGCAAGCAATGGAACAGACTATTAAGACAATGGAGAATAAACTAAAAGGCAACATAGAAATTAAGCCAGAGAGAACATGGTTCCAAACAGATGAAGAAATCAAAGCTAAAAAGAGTGAGTTTTTCCTGCAGATGCACTTGTGAACATAGTGAAATTTGTCTGTTAGCAAAATTCATTGTTTTTATAGGTCAGTAGTTCCTACCTTCACTTACAACCCTTATTCTTCATTAACAGAAGATGGCCAGAGTCAAGAACCACACACTGTAGTCTCCTCTTTTTTTTTTTCTTTCTATTTGCTTTACCAACTGTGTTATGATGTGTCTCTTTCACAACAAGGTGGTCCTTCCTACATCATTGCTGCACCACAAATGCAATTTGTCCTTTTCTAAAAATCATTCAAAATACTTTATTCTATTTCCAGTTTAATGAAATAGAAAATATGATTCACTTGATGTACAGTATTTAATTCACCTTGAGGATATTGTCTGGTTTAGTTTGGTAATATTAAGTCTAGAGATTTCTTTTTCTTTACTTCCCTTTTGTTTTTTTTGTTTTTTTGTTTTATGAATCCAAACAGAGATACAGAACTTTTCTCAGATATACAGCATTAGAGCTTTGCCCTATCCCTTATGAATTACTTATGCACTGTGTGATTTGATTGGGTGTAAATTATTTTGGCTAAATTCCTCCTATCATAGAGAATGCACATGAAACAAATCCAGAATGAGGCCATAGCTGTATTCAACATTAGAAAACCTAGAAAAACTCACTACCCAGACTTAACCAGTGTTTTATGTGTGTGATTCTCTAGCATGGGAATGGAGTTTGCGATTTGGAACCTCTGCCACTTGACGCTTTAGGTGATATTTGTAGTTCATCATCTAGTCGGACATCCTTGATAGATTTAAAAAGGATCGATAGCTTCTCCTTATAGCCGTTCCTGGATTGACGACTTGGGACTGCCTGCCTTTGATGAGCTTATGATGGTTCCTTTCATTTTTACTTTAGAACTGGCTATGGATCAGTTTGGTGGGTAGGATTGCTCCCAGTTGAACACTCTGAGTGTATTAGTGCCTCCTACCTTTCTTTTTATAGCTATCTTTAATACAGGTTAAAGAATTACTTGACCCCCGAAGTAACTTAATTAGTGGATGGATCATGAAATATTTTAAATCCACATCCTCCCACTTTCTTTATGAGTATCTGACATGGAGGCTTTTGTAAAGTCATTTCATAACTTTATTTTAAATCAAAGTGAAATGGAACATTTGTATCTGTACTCGGCTTCAAAATCTCTTCAGTTTTTTTACTCCTTAGGAAGCCCTAAGCCCATGGGTAATCCTCTGAGTCTGGCATGAAGTGGAAGGATAATACAAATTTTGAGTTTATTTGATTTTTAGATCCTGGTTAAATGCGGGTCTGGGTTTGAACCCCTAGACTCACTTGATTTACAGAGTTGTTCAATTCAGACTCTTCAGCCAGTGAATTCTTGAACAGTGATTTGAGCTCAAGCGAGCTAATTAGGATTCTCGATCTGAGATTTCCGCAGGTGATTACTCCATGTTCAGAACAACAGCTTGAACCCCAAATCGGGTTATCTGTTGCATTTTCTTCTATTATGAGCAAGGATTCAAAGACTGAAGTTCCAGCTAATATTCATTTACACCATTACAACAGCCAATCACCATCGAGAGCAATGTTTACAAGACATGGCGGAAACTATGACTCGACGATATTTACGGAGAAGAAATCTCTCCTTGTAAGATTAGGTGGTGAAAATGGCATCATAGAAAGCAAAAAGACAGATGTGGCATCTATAATAGACAAATTAAAGAAGTGGAAGCATATAATTGAGCAATACAACTCAAGTGTCAACATGAACAATTGTATAAAATGCAATATTGTTTTATATTTTCACAAATATCCTGGAGTACTGGATATTATAATCACAGGACAATGAAATACAGGTACAGAGTTAAGTACATGAGCACATCATAAGTTACTTTTTTGCTATAATTACAATCAAATTATGATCAAATTATAATTATTTTTGGTACTGTGTTACAATAAGGCTGTGTTGTTATATGATAACAAAGAAATTAGAGGAAGAACAATTACATTCACCAAAGCAAGGTGAATCAATGCAGAGGTAACCTGGCTAGTATAGTTAGATTAGGTGTCTTACTGTTCTTTAACCTACACTTCCCTCATTAGTAATGTTAAGAAAAGACTTACCTTTATTAATACTTCTTTAAAATTAAAATGCACTCAACATTGATTCAATCATTTTGAAAATTTTCCCACTTGATTCATGGACCCTAAACACAAAAAGTGTTGTAACACATTACCTTAACTCATTCAGCAACCAGAATCTTTCTTACCTGGAAACTATTCGCTGCCATCATCAGATGATGAAGGAGGTAGAGGTGAACCATACCAACAGGTAACGGCATATCACGGAAAATATCAAGGAGATCTCTCTTGCTGAACCTATATCGTTGTCTGAATTGTGTGTCACCATAAAAATTTATAGGATTCTGCCTATCAACCATCAGTCTTTTTTTCTACAAAATTTCCAATTTGATGATATCGCCAAAAAGCGCGTGCTCTGTCAAAATTCATGTTGACTTGCTATCTTGAATGATGGATCGACCGCTAAACCTGCCTCCAGGCTGGATTAAAAGCAGGACCAAAAATCCAGTCTCAAACCCGGTTTGAATCTTTGTGTTGGCTCAAGCCAGCATTCTGAATACCAACAATCTTTAATCTTTGCTCGATCCTTGGTTTAAACATTCTGCGTTTCAAGCCACCATTCTGACACGGCCTTAGAAAAATGGGTTTTCAGAATAAATCCGCTATTTTCTACTTAAGAGCTATGAAGTGTTCAGCATGGCCAAATGTTGCCTTTAACTACCGGAATTTGTTTTCAAAATAAAGAAGGTAATTTAAACTTTTAGGAGGATGCTGTAAAAACACCATACTGTAATTATGGCAGTGTATACCGTAAGTCATGAGATAAAGAGACATGTAAATAGTATTGATGATTGTACGACAATATTTTTTTTTTTCTATTTTGAACAGAAAATTCAGCAAAAGCTATTAAACAGAGAAGCCTGGAAAGGCTCAGAAGAGAAAGAGACATGAACTAAATGAGAATGATCCTAATGACAGGCGATTATGAAGGAGATGAATCTCAAACTTACTCCAGCCAAGAAAGTTTACTAAACTTCAACGCTTTAATACTGCACAGTGAACAGGAAACAGTAAAGACTGGTGAGTTATTTTTTTCGCTGTTCTAAATTGGCAGTTTAGATAAAATATTATAGGTTCCTCGTTAACGGAAAGCACAACTGCTCCAGCAGGTTGCTCTTTAACCAAAACCATTGTTTCAATGGGTTTTGGGTACTGGTTCCAGCCAAAATTGCCTAAATTCAACAAATAGGGAAAAGGACACTCTACTTTGAGGTATAGAAGGCTCCTGGATGATGATGATAAATTATAATGGGTGGAGGAGAAGGGAGAAGAGAAGGCATTGTAGGGTGGAAGAGAAGTCAACCCCATGGTGCTATTTACCCATAAAATTTTAGTTCTCTTGTAATTCAAGATTATTTTTTAAATCAACACTGCACTGCATTATATATTGTCAATATGTAAATCAAATTTCAAAATGACCAATAATTTGCTTGGAAACACAGCGTTTAGTTGAAGAGAGTCTCCACTGAAAAGAGAGAGAGAGAGAGACTAACGCCTGTTTAAAGTAATGATACGCCAGAAACTAGTTTCCTTCTTCAATTATGATCAATAATTAAATGACTAAAAATTAATATTAAACTTAGGATTATTGAATAGTATAAACTTGATTATTTACTAGAAAATTGCCTAAACTACTGTATTGGCAGACTAATACTACAGCTTGGACCGCCAAATGCGTTGAGGTCGGGTTTGTAAAAACTCGTTATTCGAGGGATTGCTCGTTAACCGGGTTAAGAATCTTATGGAAGTAGTAAATCGCTAACCAAATTGCTAACCGAGGACCACTGTAAATATTACCTGTTTTGTATAAGTGGTCCTCGGCACGTTTAACGAATGTTCATAAATATACAACCAAGACAAAACCACCACTAAGATTATAAACAACCATCATGATTATACAACCACAACTATGATTATAAAAACCACGACTAAGATTATAACAACCACCATGATTATAACAACCACGAATATGATTATTATAACCAACACAACCAATGATTATAACAAACTATGACTATGATTATAGCAACCACCACCATGGTTATAAACAACCAGACTATGATTATAACAACCATGACTCATATCACAAAAACCACCACTTTGATGATAAATAGCACCACCATGATTATAACAACCACTCAATTACCATAAGATTATAACAACCACAACCATGATTATACAACCACGCCAACATTATAATACCACAATTAAGATTATAAATCATCACCATAGATTATAATCACACCACATTATAACCACGCACTATGATTATAACAACCACGGCTAGATATAATCAGATTATAACAACCACGCTACATTATAACAACCACAACCATGATTATAACAAACCAATTACTTAAACCACGACTATAAATGCCACTATGATTATAATAACCACGACTATGATTATAACAACCACAACCATGATTATAAACAAATACCCACCATGATTATAACAGCCACCACTATGATTATAAATAACCACGACTTTAGATACAACCACGCACCATGATTATAACAACGCTAACGATTATAACTAGCACGCATCATGATTATACAACCAATAATTCATGATTATAACAACCACTACCATCAAACAACCACCACCATGATTATAACTAGCACCCAATCATGACTATACAAACACAACCATGATTATAAATACCACACCATGATTATAACAACCATTGACTATTATAACACCATGATTATAACCATTTAATCACATTGACAACCACGATATATAATAAATGTTTGATTTATAACCACTACCATTATTTATAACAACCACGGATTATAACAAACGATTATAATAAACCACAACCATGATTATAAAAACCACGCACTTATAATATACAGCCACTCATTATGATTATAATAACCACCACTCATGATTATAAACAACCAACCATGATTATAACAACCACCACCATGATTATAACAGCCAATTCACTATGATTATAACAAACAACCTACTATGATTATAACAACCACACTCTTTGATGATAACAACCACTTACCATGATTATAACAAACTAATTCACCATGATTATAACTAGCACCCACTCATGATTATAAAAACCACCAATCATGATTATAACAACCACCACCATGATTATAACAACCACGCCCATGATTATATCAAATCACTTAACTGATTATAACCACTAATTATGATTATAAATAAACCACGCCATGATTATAATAACTACTTCAATTAGATTATAATAAACCACGCCATGATTATAACGACCACAACCATTATATAACAACCACGCACTATGATTATAACAGCTAATGCATTATGATTATAATAACCACAGCCATGATTATAACAACCAAACCATGATTATACAACCACGACCATGATTATACCAGCCACGCCATGATTATAACAAACCACAACCATGATTATAACAACCACAACCATGATTATAACAACCAACCACCACCATGATTATAACAGCGACGACTACTAGATTATATCACCCACTTAATCACGATTATAACAACCACTTAACCTTAATTATAGCAACTACCTACCATGGTTATAACAACCAGACTATGATTATAACAACCACTTAACTATGATTATAAATAACCAGAATTTGATGATAAATAACTACGACTATGTGTTATAACAACCACCACCCATGATTATAACAAACCACTCCATGATTATGACAACCACGACTATGATTATAACAACCACACTATAATTAAAATAACAACCGACTATGATTATAACAACCAACGCACTATGATTATAACAACCACGACTATGATTATAACAACTACGACCATGATTATAACAACCACGACCATGATTATAACAACCATGACCATGATTATAACAACCACTCTACCAATGATTATAACAAACACTCCACCATGATTATAAGTAGTAACGCACCATGATTATAACAACCACGATTATGATTATATAATCCACCTAATTACTGATTATAAATAAACCACGACTATGATTATAACAAACTACTCCACCATAATTATAACAACCACTAATTACGATTATAACAAACACAATTATGATTATAAGTAGCACGCACCATGATTATAACAACCACGATTATGATTATATCACCCAATTGACTATGATTATAACAACCACCATGATATATAACAACCACGCATCATAATTATAACAAACCACCACCATGATTATAACAACCAATACCATGATTACAACAACCACTCACTCATGATTATAACAACTACCACCATGATTATAAATAACCATGACCATGATTATAAATAAACCATGACCATGATTATAATAACCACTTACTATGATTATAATTAACACCTAACATGATTATAACAACCATGCACCATGATTATAACACCCACCACCATGATTATAACACCCACCTAATGATGATATAACCAACCAATACAAGATTATAATACCTAACGAACTATGATTATAATAACCACGCCATGATTATAATAACCACGGCCATGATTATGACACCCACCACCATGATTATAACACCCAACAATGATTATAAACAAACCAACTGACTATGATTATAACAACCACGGCCATGTTTATAACAACCACCGCCATGATTATAACAACCACATCCATGATTATAAAACCACTAATTAGGTAATAACCAGGACCATGATTATAACAACCACAGCTATGATTATAACAACCAACGACTATGAATCAAACCATGATTATAACAACTACCACCATGATTATAACAACCGTAATACGATTATAAATAACCCACGCACCATGATTATAACAACACGACTACGATTATAACACCTACCTACAATGATTATAACACCCACCTAATTACGATTATAACAACCAATGCACTATGATTATAACAACCACCCACCATGATTATGACAACCACGCCATGATTATAACAACCACGGCCATGATTATGACAACCAACCGACCATGATTATAACACCCACCAACCATGATTATAACAACCACTGCACTATGATTATAACAACCACGCCATGTTTATAATAACCACTGCCATGATTATAACAACCACATCCATGATTATAACAACCATTACCATGGTTATAATAACCAGGACCATGATAAAAAAACCACAGCTATGATTATAACAACCACGACTATGATTATAACAACCATGATTATAAACAACCTCAACCACATGATTATAACAAACCGCAACCATGATTATAACAACCACGCCCATGATTATAACAACCACTAACCATGATTATAACAACCACTACCATGATTATAATAACCAGACCATGATTATAACAACCACGCACTATGATTATAACAACCACAACATTATAAACAAACCAGGACCATGATTAAAACAACCATGACCATGATTATTACAACCACTCCTAATGATTATAACAACCACTACCATGATTATAACAACCACGAACATTATAACAACCACGAACATTATAACAACCGGACCATGATAAAACAACCATGACCATGATTATTACAACTACCTACTATGATTATAGCAACTATGACCATGATTATAGCAACCATGACCATGGTTATAACAGCCAGTCTATGATTATAACAACCAAGCACAATGATTATAACAACCACGACTTTGATGATAAATAAACCAACGACCATGATTATAACAAACCACTTACCATGATAATAACAACTAGCCATGATTAAAACAACCACGACTATGATTATATAACCACCGACCATGATTATAACAACCACGAGCATGATTATAACAACCAGGACCATGATTATAGCAACCACAACCATGATTATAACCACTAATTATGATCACAACAACCACGTCCATGATCATAACAACCACCTAACATGATTATAACAACCACGACCATGATTATAACAACTACCACCATGATTATAAATAAACCAACTTAACTATGATTATAACAACCACGATATGATTAATAACAAC